GGTGGAGGGGTGGAAGGGAGGGCAGGGGAAGGGGGAAAAATAAGAACCAAGATACATCATGTAAAGGTACAAATTCCCAATGAACGTCATGATATAGTATACCTAAAATGTACCAGTAAACTTAATGAATTTTTAAAAATTAAATAAATAAATAAAAGGGCGTTCGGAATGTAGCTCAGTGCAATGGCCCTGGGTTCATTCCCCAGTATAAAAAGATAAAAGAGAGGTGGTGTCTAGGGGAGGTCTTTAGGTCACAGGGTGCTTTTGGAAGGGACCCCAGTTAATCTCCAGTGTTGCGCTCTGGCTTCCTCTTATTTTATACAGGGCCTTGATAGTTGTCCAGGTTGGGCTCAAACTTGCAATCCTCCTGCCTCAGCCTCCCCAGTGGCTGGGGATACAGGTGTGCTTCATCTTCCAAGCATTCGCTTACTTTACTGGTTAATGAGAAGGACACAGTGAGACTGACACGTCCCCCAGCAGGGGTCCCTATGGGCCCACACACTACAGGCACAGGGACCCTGGAGTACCTAAGGCAGTGGGGGACCCCAGGGGCCGCCTTACCCAGGCCCTTTCTCTCTGCCTGGTCTGTCTCCTTGAACCCCCTCCTTCCTTTCTCCCTCTGACCTCCTTCAGCAGCAGGAAAGCTTTGTGGGCAGCATCCGAGAGGCAGCAGCAGAACAGGTTGCCCACCCTGAATTGGAGTGACCAGAGGTCTCTCTAAAATGAGCTTCTGCCAACATCACCTGGAGATTTGCGCCATCAGAAACCTGGACACAGCTGGGTGTGATGATGCACGCCTGTCATCCCAGCACTTGGGAGGCTGAGGCAGGACGATCACTGAGAGTACAACGCCAGTCTGGGCTGCACAGAGAGACCTTATCGCAAAACAAAACCAAACCAAACCAAACCATATAAGTAAAAAAATAAAGGGCTGGGATGTAGCTGAGGGCCCGCTTGTATTCATCCCCAGTATCTGAAAAGGAAAAAAACTGCGGCCTCCGTGGAGAACATTTACAGCAAGTCCTCAAAAAAGAACGCACACCTGGAATCGCCACTGGATTGCCAGGGCTCCTGAGCAAGCCCGAGGCCATAAGGGATGAGAATAATCTCCAAAGGGAAGAACCTGCCCCAGGTCGTCGTCAGGTCGCCCCGCGGATTAAGGAGCCTGTGTCACCTGGCGAAGATCACAGCTTCCGCGATTCCTGAGCTGTTCCAAGCGGACAGACGCGAGGGCCCACGAGGCTCTCTGGTCTGCGCTTCCGATCCACTTCCGGCCCCGGGGCGGAAGGGAATTAAGGACGCGCAGCCAGGCAGGGCCAGCGCGCAGGCGCGGAGAGGACGCCAGCGGCCTCGGTAGCCGGGCAGCTCCAGCTGGGAATGAGCTTTGTGTTCCGTGGGCGCCGCGGGTCTTTTTGTTGTACCGGAAGCGAACATAGCAGAGTTCTTGTGCTGTGCCAGGTTCCCCTAAAAGCCTGGATTTAAGTTGGGGTGGGTTTTTTTTGGGGGGGAGGTAGGGCTCTGACAGGATCTCGCTATGTAATTCAGGTTCTTTCTGAATTCATTATGTAGCCCAGACTGGCTTCAATTTCAACGCAGTCCTCCTGCCTCAGCCTCCCGAGTGCTGGGATCACAGGCCTGTGCCACCACGCGCGGCTCGTTTTTGATTTCAGCTTAAAATTTCCAAAAATAATTTTTTTTTTGGTACCGGGGATCAAACTCAGGACCTTGGGCTAGCGAGGCAGGCGGCAGAACCACTGAGCTAAATCCCCAGCCCGGTTTGGAGTTTTTTAGGTCCGATGGCCACACAGACCTAAACTGAGCTGCTGGTCGAAGCTCACCCTGCCACCCTCCCTCACCTCCTCCAGCAGACACTGAGTCACTTCCGGAGGCTTGTCAGTCTCCTTCCTCAAGCACCATCCTTTGAGAGGAGCTGGGCATGGTGGTGGACATGTGTAATCCCAGTACCCCAAAGGCTGAGGCAGGATTGCTGAATTCAAGGCCAGCCTGGACTGCACAGCAAGGCCCTACTCTATAATGAATAAATAGCATGCTGCCACAGGGCCTTTGCACATTCTCTGCTCGTTTGGAGTGTCTCCTCAGATATCCACAGGGTTCCTCCCTCTCAACCTTTAGACCTGTATGTGTTCTATTTGTTACTATAATGCAATGCTGAGCCAGGCTGCTTTATACAGAAAAAAGGTCTGTTTTGGCTCACAGTTCTGGAGGATTTGTATGGTGATGGCTTTCTTGCTGGCCGAGCCCTAAAATGGAACAAACCATCCCATGTGAAGAGACCAGCAGGTGTAGTGTGTTGGGTCTCTATCCTCTGCCTCTTCCCCTCCTCCTCCTCCTCCTCCTCTTCCTTCTTGCCGTAATGGGATTGAACCCAGGAGGAGCTAAATTGCACACCCAGTCCTCTGCATTTAGAGACAGGGTCTTGCCAAGTTTCTCAGGCTGAAATCAAACTTGCCATCCTCCTGCCTCAGCCTCTTAAGTATCTAGGATTAGCATGTACTATCCTGCCCGGCACATACAGCTTCTTTAAAGTGGTATCTTTCAACAGCCAGGCATGGTGGGACATGTCTGTGGGAGGCTGTCAGGAAGATCACTCCTAAGTGAGGCCTTGAACTCACTGTATGTCCCAGGCCACTCAGAGGGATCCTCCTGCCTCAGCCTCCCGAGTGCTGGGATCACAGGCGTGCGCCACTGCACCAGCTTTGCCTTCCTGTCTTACCACAGGACATTTATCTCATGCACATGGTGACACGTGGATCATGAAGGGCCCTTGGCAGAGGCCACACCGATGGGTTTGGACTGTCAGGCTCCAAAGCTGGGAGGCAAGGGCTTGGGATGGCCCAGCGGGGGATGCTTGCCTGGTGTGTAAGAGGCCATGAGTTTGATTCTCAGCACTGAAAATAAACACAAAAGCTCCTCCCAGCCTAAATAAATAATTTTTAACATTATTTTTGTAGTACAGAGGATTAAACCCAGGGCCTTCCCACACAGCTATATACCCAGCCCCTTTATTTTCTGAGACAAGGTCTCACTAAATTGTCTAGGCAGGCCTCAAACTTGTGATCCTCCTGCCTCAGCCTCCCAGGGTGTGTAATCCACACCCACCTTCAGTTAACTTCTGTGGGGCCAACATACTAGCCCATTATTCTGCATGTGCCCTGTAAATGCTGAAGCAAGGAAACTCAGCCATCCCAAGAAAACCTCTAGTCATGAAACCCTGGTTTGCACATCAAAGGAAGCCAGGGGGCTCCTCTTTCTCCCAGAAATAGTTCCCGGATCAACCCTGCTGGGGTTAAGGATCTGAGACCCAGCCTCACAGAAAAGAAATGGCTGAGCTTCCAAGGAACAGAGAAGTTGGTCTCTGGCGCCCTCTGCTGTTCACTACATGCCACAGGCCCGCCAGATTGTGCCCCTTCACAACCACCTGCCCAGTGCACCAAGTAGCTCCGAAGTAACCAAGATGACCTTCCTTAAGTGATGGACAAACAAACCGTGGAACATGCAGGCAATTCCATATACTTTTGTTTTTGGTTTTTGTGTTTTTTGGTACCGGGGATCCAACTCGGGACCTTGTGTTTGTGAGGCAGGTGGCGGAACTACTGAGCTAAATCTCCGGCCCTCCATGTATTTTTTTTTTTTTTTAAAGCCACACACAAAAAAAGAGGAATATTAAATGTCATTTTTCTGGTGTAAACGAGTTGAGGGTAGTGGCACAAACCTGTAATCCCAGCACTCTGGGAAGATGAGGCAGGAAGATCACAGCCTAGGGAACTCAGCAAGTTGAGAACCTGTCTCAAAATACAAAATAAAAAGAGCCAGGGGTGTAGCTCAACATGAAGGCCCCAAATTCAATCCTCAGTACCAGGGGGGTAAAAAAGCTAACCCAAGAAGTTTATGTATGTATAGCAGGGCGTGGTGGCGCACGTCTGTCATCCCAGCACACAGGAGGCTGAGGCAGGAGGATCGCTGCTAATTTGAGGTCACCCTGGGCTACACAACAACTACAGAGTAAGACCCTGTCTCAAAAAAATAAAACAAAACAAAAATAAAGACAAGAAAATAGTCTATCACATGACCCCAACTAAATAATCCTGCAAGCTTTGAGACCATAAAAGGACAAATGAGCAGCAGTTGCTGAAGGGAGAAGGAAGGGTGCGCGCTACATCAACCCCTGTCACGGAGCTGCAGCCCTGCCCTTGTTACCATGGGCACCTTGGGGAGCTGTGGAGCTGCCTGCCTGGGCCGCATCCTGGAGAGAGGCTCTGGGAAGCCACTCACGGCCTCTTGCTCTGGAGGGCACACTGCTCGGAGGCGCCAGCTCACAGGGCTCAAGGCATGAGGCAGTGACACAGCCCACCAACCCCGCACTCAATGCACCTCAGGGCCACACGGGGTCCCTGGGGGTGGGGGGTGGGTTCTGCAGAGAGTCACAAGCAAATGCAAGGCCTGGACTGTCCTCACATTCAGAAACCAAAACAAAACACTTTATTACAATAAAAGCCATTGTCCTTTAATCCTCAAAATCCTCCCCCATCATTCTTGCCACTTTTTTTTTTTTGGCGGTACTGGGGATTGAGCTCAGGACCGTGGGCTTTCAAGACAGGCACAGTGCCACTGAGCTAAATCCCCAGCCCACTTTGCCACTTTTTTTTTGAGACAGGCTCTCACTCTGTAGTCCAGGCTGGCCTTAAATTCAGAGATCCTCCTGTCTCAGCCTCCTGGGTGCTGGAATGACAGGTGTGCACTGCCACACTCAGCCACATTTTTGGGGATGGGGTACCAGGGATGGAACTCACGACCTTGCGATTGGGAAGCAGGTTCAGTGGCACTGAGCTAAATCCCCAGCTACATTTTTAAAATTTAACCTTTCACTGTGTATTCTTTTCACCCTGCTTACATCCACTCCACTTCACAAGAACAAAAGCAATCTGTGGCTGGCCAAATTCTCTGAATTGGGTCTCTGGTGCCCTCTGCTGGCTATTCTGTTTATTTATTTATTTTGGGGGGGGGGGCTTGTCTAATCACAACAGCAGGGACACCATTTTTCTTTTCTTCTTTTTGGTTTTTTGAGCCAGGGTCTCCCTTTGTAGTTCAGGCGGGCCTCAAACTTGCAGTGATCCTTCTGCCTCAGCATCCTGACTGCTGGGATTGTGGATGTGCACCACCACACCCAGCAGAGATAGGATCTTTTGCAGGAAGGGCCCCGCTGAAGACAACCCTTGGACTGGTCTGGAAAATCTAATTAAGAATAAAATTTAAATGGTGAGAGTGTAGCTCAATGGGAGAGCATCTACCTATCATGTGCAAAGCCCTGGGTTTCATCCTCAGCACTTCCAAAACTTTTTTTTAAGAAAGTGGCAAAAAAATAAATAAATAAATAAATAAAATAAAATAAAAATTAAAATTAAAAAAAAAAAGAAAGTGGGAGATGGGTGTGGTGCTGCACACTCTTGCCCAGCAGCTGGGAGGCTGAGTCAGACGGACTGTCATGAGTTCGAGATGAGGCCCGCCTGGAAGACTGTGAGACTGTCTCAAAAAACAAAAAACAAGGGGCCGGGGATTTAGCTCAGTGGTTCCGCTGCCTGCCTCGAAAACACAAGGACCCCATTTCGATCCCCAGTACCAAAAAAACCCAAAACAAAGACAAAAAAACAAAAAAAACAAGGGGGCCCGGGATTTAGCTCAGTGGCACCATGCCTTGCAAGCACAAGGTTCTGAGTTCAATTCCCAGTACCAAAAAAAGGGGAGGAGGGGGACTTGAAAGTGTTCGTGTTAAGATTCCCAGTATCTTTGGGTGTTTTTTGGTCCTGAGACTCAAGTGCCTCTGCTCTAGTGCTCTACCATTCTGAGCCCTCCTCACAGGGAGGAATCCAAGACCTCATGTATGCCAGGCAAGTGCTGTACCATTGAGCTATACCTCCAGCCCCTTTAAAAAGTTGTTTTAGGGTCTAAGTTGCCCAGGCTGGTCTCACACTTGCAGGCTACCTGCCTCAGCCTCCCAGAATGCTGGGATGACAGGTGTGCGCCAGTAGCCCCAGCTCCATGCAGGATCTTATGTTACCTCTCATAGGCTGAGCACTGCAGGTGCTGGGAGCTAGGAAGTACACAAGGGACCTGGATCCATTCTCAGGGGCCAGCGTATGACCCAAGGTGCTGAGCGCCAGGTCCATCTGGTCCCCTGCCAGGTCCAACAGCCCCATCCCCTTGTGCCTTACACCCAGGATGTCCAAGTTACTGGAGAGGCAGCCAAAATACAGTATGACTCTGCCAAGAACAGCCAAGCTGCTGACCAAAGGTAAGTCGCAAAGATTGCAGGCTGACCAGGCTCCACAATCCCTACTGAAAGAGCTGAGTGTTGCTATCTGGTCATCCACCACTCTCACCTCCACTGCTTTGTGGATTTGGGGGTTGTGTGTGGGACACCCCTGGCTAGAAGTCAGAATTGCATTTAATAACATGGAAGTAATTAAGGTGTGCACTCCTCTTTCAGTACTTTGTTACAGGAAATGAACCCAACCTTTTTCTGAGACAGAAAATCATTAAGTTGTTTATGCAGGACTTGAATTTGCAATCCTTCTGCCTCAGCTTTCCAGTGTGCTAAGACTACAGGCATGTGCCATTGTACCTGGCTTTGTCTTTTGTTTTCGTCACCATTTCATTTTTATATTTATTCAATATTTTCCTGCATTTAATAATTTCAGGCAAAGGGAATTGGGGAGGTAGCTCAGTATAGTATCTGCCTGGCTTGCATGAGGCCCAGGGTTCAATCCTCAACAATCCCCCCCCAACACACATATATTTTTGGTAAGATGAGGATCAAAGGCAGCACCATACCACAACTAACTTTCTTTTCTAATTCCTTCCTTCCTTTTTTTGAGACACATTCTATGTCATTTAAAGTGGCCTTGAACTCACCATGTAGCCCAGGCTGGCTTCAAACTCTCAGCAAACCCCCAGCCTCAGCCTCACGATTCCTGGGATTACAGGTGTGTGGCACCATGGACAGCCTGCACTACAATTCTAAGGACTAAGTCACAGGGCTGGCAGTGACAGAGTTTGAATGATGGACCTACCACAATCTTAGAAAAAGTAAACTTTCTAACCTGTTTTTCCTCTGTAGAATGGAGATGCAGACTTATAAGATACCTCTCTTGCCTCAAAATAGATTTAAAACTGTCATGTGTTCAGCGAACCCACATTATGAATAAAAAATTAAAGTGCCAAAAACTAAGTAGCAAATAAACACAAACATTACACGGGCAGTGGTCAGTGGGTGTAACTCGGTGTGTTCAGCATGCACAAAGCCCCTAGGTTGGTCCCCAGCAGCACAACTAAAGCAAAACAAAAACCCCTCAAAACGTGTCACAACGAAGATAACTGTTCCATCTCGTGGTTTAATTATCTAGCCACGGGCCACCCAGATGACAGAGGTGGTCTCACTCCCCAAATATTTTAGCTTTACAGGTATAATAACCGTAACCTAGCTAAGTACCAGCTATGGACCCTGACATCCCTTTGCACAGAATTCTATGAGTCCATATAAATTTTGAGATCAGGACATGCTTTATGGCCTTCTAAGCCACTTCCAAAACTGTCAGTACACACATGGTAAAGTCGGGTTATTTTTGCCACTTCCCTCTCACAACCAAATAGTCACACCAATGTCAATTTCTTGGCTTAATATTAGTTACATTTCAGGGAAGCTGAATGAAAGGTATGCAAGATGTCTCATTTTATCAGTTTCATGTGAGATTTAAGTTATCCCAAAGTATAGCTTTTAAAAATACCAAAGCAAAAATGTTATTTATAAACAAGTAATAAGAGGCCTGGGGTGTATAGCTAAGTGGTACAGCCCATTTGCAAGACCCTAGGTTTGACCACCAGCACCCAAACAACAAAAATGAACAAAAACACCCACAAAACACAAGACTGGATCCTAGAAAGCTAGGCACAGTGGTGCAAATTTGTAATCCCAGGGCTCTGGGAGGCTGAAGAAGAAGGTTTGTAAAAATTTGAATCCAGCCTGGGCAATTTAGTGAGACCGTATCTCAAAATAAAATTTTTAAAAAGGCTAGGGAAGTAGTTCAGTGAGAAGCCTCTGGGTTCAATCTCTAGTACTGAAAAAAACAAAAAAAACCTATCTGAAGCTTATGGTGGCATGCACCTGCAGTCCCAGCTACTCCAAAGTCTGAGGATGGAGGATCACTCGAGCCCATGAGTTGGACACCAATGACACAGCAGTGATTTAGTGAGACCCTGTCTCGAAATAAAACAAAATTTAAAGAAGGGCTAGGGATGTAGCTCAGTGCCGATCCTGGCTTTTATCCTCAGGACTACAAACTCACAAAAAACAAAAACAGAACTGAATGGTTTCAGGGAGTGAGTGTCAAGAGAGTCCCCTGACCAATGCAGTATCTCTCTACCAGGTTGACTGTGTGGGCCACAAGAGAGACTACTGTATTTTTGTCTTGTTTTTACCATGCTGGGGATGGAAAACAGCAACTCACCTGCTAGGTAAGTGCTTTACCATTGAGCTACATTATATTTCTAGTTGAAAAAGGCCAACATAAGGGCTTATCACTAGCTCTGACAGCGATAAACAGTACACGGTTAAGTCACTCGATCTGCTCCCCCCATTCCTGAACCAAGAAGGCTCTAAATTTGATTTAACTAACAAGGAGCAGAGACAGGGAGAAAGGCTCCTCAAACTTTCGACAACCCAGCGAGGGTCATTCTGCAAGTAATATACCTCAGTTCCACTCTCAGCAGCTGTACCCTCCCGGGCACACAGTCTGCCAGGGCTCGCAGCCGGGTCAGGTCTGGTGCCTAGCTGGCTTTCATCCAGCGACCTCCGACTGCACAAGGGACTCAGCCTGCCTCAGGGTGACCTTGTCCTTTTTCTCCTTCTGCAACACCTGCTCCTCCCACAGCGCCTGGTCCACCTGATCGTCGGTGAGCACCACGGCCTTGTACTTCTCATCAAAGAGCCGCTCGTTGGCCTCGGAGTGCAGCTGGTGAGGCCCAACGACGCGCAAATGCGGGGGCAGGTGGAGGAACTCGTCGTGGTTGATGTCGCAGTCTCGCATCCGGGCCCCCAGGACCCACCAGCGGCCCACGAACCCCACATCCAGGATTCGGCCCGGGAAATCGACCCAGCGGGGCTGCAGGTAGCGGCAGCGAGCCCGGTAGAGGCTGGCTTGGCCGTCGAAGGGCGCCTCGTACAGGAGCGAGAAGAGCCCCAGGTTTACATGGCGCAGGCACCCGCGGCCCCTCAGCCAGAGGAGCCTCTGCAGGAAGGATTCTGAGTCTCGGTTGCGCGTGGCCGGCGCCAGCAGCAGTAGAGTTCCCGATGCTTCAATCAGCGCCTCCTCGAAGGCCGCCTCGCTCGGCGCCAGCGCGCAGCAAGCCGCTGCGCCGCCCAGCAGCGCAGAGTACAGGGCGGCGCGGCAAGGCCGGGCCCGCGCCGCCGCCGCCGCGTCCCTGCAGGCCTCACCGTAGTCCTGCAGCAGCGCGCGCGCCCAGGCACCTGGGAGAGAAGAAGCGCAGTGAGAGCAGTTACTTCGCTGCGCCCACGCCCCTGTCATCTTCCTCCGCTACTCACCTAGTCGCACCCACACACCCGGTTTCGCAGGCGCCGCGTTAGTTCCTTCTCCACCTGCTTCTCTGCGACCTCTGGTCCAAAATCTCTTCAGAGAAGCGGTCGCCATCCTCTTCCGGTCTGCGGTCCAGTCTCCGGATAGAAACGCCTGGTACCCGAAATAAAATGCCTGGGGTGTCTATTCTGCGTAATCGCCAAAGTGGCCGGAAGTCGCTTCCTACCGGAAGAGATTAGGAAACGGACCGGTGCCGGATGTTGCTGTAGTCTCAGCTAGGTCGACGCTGTCGGTTAAGCCTGCCGCACAGGCGCGGAGAGCCCTGGCCACGCCCGTTTAAGGTAAGCTCAGGTGAGACCCGAGGCGAATTTAATTCCCCGTAGGTGTTGCTAGCTGCGGGGTAGAGCTTGGGGCTGATAAGATCCGGGAGGGGCGTGGACCTGAGTGGCCTCTGTCCTCAGAACGCGATGCGGTGACGCCCCTGAACCACCATGGCAGCGGCTGACGATCTGGCCTTCCACGGTGAGTGCAGCCCCGACGTGGCCGAGGTTTCTGTTTTGTTTTTTGAGACAGGTTCTCCCTATGTAGTCCAAGCTGACCTCGAAGTCCAGGCGATCCTCCTGCCTCAGCCTCCCGAGTACGGGATGACAGGCGTGCACCGCCACACCCGGCTGAGGGCAGAGTTTCTGCTCCTGCCCCAGAACATCTCTTGCAGTCCTCAACTCCTATTTAACCCAACCACAGGCGGCTGTGACCCCTGATCCGACACCGGAAACACCACCCAGGAGTGAGACCCATCCTCTACCTGAACCCCATTTCCGCCTTGAATTCACATCTCAATCCCAAGCCTAGTCTCGTGTGAGGGGGAAGACCGCGGAGCTCCACTCCATGCCCTAAAACTGAGGCTGGGTCCTGTCCCGGGGGAGCACTGGGGTGGCCACAGTCAGAACCTCAGCTTCCCTGCAAATGAGTAGTGGGCAATCAGAATTGTCTCAACCCCCCAAAACATGCCCATGGCTCATCTTCCCTCCCCATAGAATTCGAGGAAGCCACCAATCTTCTGGCTGAGACCCCAGATGCTGCTACCACCAGCAGAAGTGATCAGCTGACCTCCCTGGGCCACGTGGCTGTGGCAGCGGGCACTGGTAGCAGCTATGGAGCTGAGGACGAGGTGGAGAGCGACAAGACAGCGGTGAGTAACCTGTGTCCACACCCTGCCTCTGTCCAGCCGCCAGCCTGTCCAGGCTGCAGGCTCGGGCACTGAAGCCCTGTGCCTTGCAGCTGCTGCAGGCGGAGAAGCCACAGCCTGGGTTCTGGACCTTCAGCTACTATCAGAGTTTCTTTGACGTGGACACCTCCCAGGTGAGGCGTGGGAGTCACACTCAGGGTTCCACTCGGGGCAGGGTGCTGGGGACTGCTCCGTGGGAGAGCAAGGCTCCTCTTAGTCTGTAAGAGGAACGGTGGTGCTGCCTAAGGACTGTGGGGACACCAAGGACCCACATGGTATGGTGACAGGGCAGAGGCCTCTGGGAGACAGTGAGGGCCTTGTGAGCTCTATTTTTGGGGTGTTTGGTTCAGGATGGGGTCTTGCTATGTTGACCATGCTGGCTTCAAATTCCTGAGCTCAAGAGATCTTTGTCCTTCAGTCTCCTGAGTGGCTGGGACTCCAGGTATTGCCAGCATGTCCAGCTGTGAGCCCTGTTAAGAAGTTGGGAGTCTGGGTTTTTTGGGGGTTTTTTTGGTACCGGGGATCGAACTCAGGCCTTTGCACTTGCAAGACAGGCAGCGGCATCACTGAGCTAAATCCCTGGCCTCTGGACTCTGAGTTTTATGGGGAGGGTGATGGGGAGCCAATGGAAGGATTCAGAGCAGGAGAGGAACAAGTGGGATCAGCAACATGGAAGAGATATGATCAAGGCCTCAGGCCAGCCTCCGTGACAGTAAACCCGGGCACAGAGTATAGGACATACTGCAGAGAGAGATCCTTGCTGGGCTGAAGACCTGCTGCAGAGTGGCGGGAAGCTGAGCAGGAGCTGGCTAGGGGAGAGGGCTCGGGGCCAGCCACAGGAGCAGCCTGTCAAGCCGGGGAGAGTTGGGTTCTTTCAGGTAGGGCTTAGAGGGGAGACTGGGGGTCCACAGGAAAGAAGCTGTCAAGGCCTCAAGGCCCAGTAGGACCCAGGTGGGTTCTACTCTAGGCCCTCACCGCACCCTCCAGGTCCTGGATCGGATCAAAGGTGCACTGCTGCCCCGGCCTGGCCACAACTTTGTACGGCACCATTTGCGGAATCGTCCCGATCTGTATGGTGAGTGAGCTTGCGCATTTGGTTCATTCTCTTATTCATTCCCCAAATGCGGGCTGAGTGCCAGGCCCTGCTGCACAGCTGAGAACAAAGCAGTCAGTCACTTTCAGAGACTGACACTTGTGGGCCTGGGACGCTAGCAGTGTTGCCTCTCCTCAGGTCCCTTCTGGATCTGCGCCACCCTGGCCTTCGTCCTGGCTGTCACCGGCAACCTGACACTGGTGCTGGCCCAGAGGAGGGACCCCTCCATCCACTACAGCCCCCAATTCCACAAGGGTAAGAGGGGTGGCAGGCCCAGCCGCTGGCAGCAGCAGAGTCTCCAGGCATAGAGATGACTGCCACCTCGCCCCCCAGTGACCATGGCAGGGATCACCATCTATTGTTATGCATGGCTGGTGCCGCTGGTGCTGTGGGGCTTCCTGCGGTGGCGCCAGGGTGTGCAGGAGCGCGTGGATCCCTACAGCTTCCTGGAGACCGTGTGCGTGTACGGCTACTCACTCTTTATCTTCATCCCCATGGTGGTGAGTGGGGCTGGCCGGTGGGTGGCAGCCGGGGCCACAGGGGTGCCCAGTGTGGTCACTAGTTGCCTGTCACCCCAGGTCCTATGGCTCATCCCTGTGCCGTGGCTGCAGTGGCTCTTTGGGGCGCTGGCCCTGGCCCTGTCCACGGCCGGGTTGGTGCTCACCCTCTGGCCCGTCATCCGCGAGGACACCAGGCTGGTGGCCGTGGCCCTGCTGTCCACTGTGGTGCTGCTCCACGCCCTCCTGGCCATGGGCTGTAAGGTACAGGTCGGGATCGGGGTGGCCCCAGGCTGGGCCGTGGGTCGGGCTGGGCTGGCTGTTACACTGACCTCAGATATCTCTGCTCAGCTCTATTTCTTCCAGCCGCTGCCTCTGGAGCAGGTGGCACCTCCAGCCCAAGTGACATCTTTAGCCCTGCACACACAGCTGCCTCCCACCCTGGCCCGGTCTATGGGCACCTCGTAGGAAGGCCCAGGCCCAGTCCCACAGGTGAGGCGCTGCCTCCCGCTGTGGCCAAGAGAGGTGAAAAGGCCTGGGCACTGGGAGGAGCCTCGCTTTCAGGCCAGACCTCAGGGGACACCGCCTGCCCTGACCCCGGCGAGGACCAAAGGCTCCCTTGACCCTTCAAGACCACTCTGCTACTGTCCACATTTTTCTTACAAAGCAAACACTTTTATTTTCTATGCAAAGGTGATCCAGAGAATTTATATAAAGGTGGGGAGGGTAGCCGAGCAGGGAGCTTCCAGGGCAGCTCAAGTGACACAGCCACAGGACAGGGCCCCGATGCCCTACAGTGGGGTACCCCAGCCCTGCCTCGAGCACACGCAGCAGGCCTGGGCCTGACCTCCAGCTTGAGAGGTCAGGTGCTAGGAACAAGAGGGTGAAGAAAACTGCCTGTGCTGAAACGTACATTTCCTTGCTCTTTTTTTTTTTTTTCCTTTTTTTGGAGGGAGAGGTCCCTGCAAGGTCCCTTTCCCAGCTGAGGAGGGTCCGAATGCTTTTGCAGCAGTGGGGACTGGAGCATCTACAAGTCTGGAGGGGACACACAGGCCTAACGTCAGTTACACAGGGAGAGGACACCTTTGAGACAGGCTGGAGGTTTCTGTCTGCCCGTGGCCCATGGTGACAGTCCGCCTGCTCAGCTCTTGGCAGAGGGGAGGGGAGCTGCAGGGCTCAGGGACAGGACAGCAGCTGAGTCGGCCAAGGACAGGCCTGCAGATAGCCGGGGCTACATTCAAGTGTGAGGTGACCCTGGGCGGGAAGGGCCACCCCTCCCTCCCGTGGGGCCTGCGGCTGCGCCCGGCCGGCCGGGTTTCTCAGAGGGTCTGTGAATTGACACTGGTTCTTTTCGTAAAAAAATAAAATTAAAAAAAGCAGCATGTCATGCCCTTGGTGACCGTGGTGGCCTGGTAGTTGAGGAGAGGTACTGCCCGGCCGGCTGTGCCCTGCAACGGGTGAGGGTGGGACGCTGAGCTGCTCCCTCCTCTACCCTGGTGCTGCTTCGGCAGAGGGCAGAGCCAGGCGGCTGCAGCGGGCAGGAAGGACAGGCTCCCGATCGACATGATCTGGTGTAAAATATGGCAGCGACAGGCGCTTGGGCCAGGGTGGGGCAGGGTAGGGGCAGCGGCAACAGTGTAAAAAAGTGTCCGAGTCCCGTAGCAAAGAGGGCCGTGACGTGACGGTGTTGAGGCTTGTCCAGTCCGAGGCGGCCGCCAGTGCGGGCTTCATTTGGTTTCCTGGTGCTGTCAGTCCGAGGCTGGGCGCCTAGCTCCCATAGTGCATGGTGTTGGTCGGGATGGACATGGGTGACGCCATGGAGATGGCCGGGCCACCCATGGTGAACTGGTTGTTGACCGCGTAGTGGGCGCTGGAGCCACCGCCGCCACCCTGGGCACCTGAGGAGCCTGTGGGACAGGCAGTGGGCACTGAGGGCAGTGTGACCCTGTGCCTGCCCGGTCCCCCGGCAGTGTGAGCACCCACACAGGCACGGCAGCCAGCAGGCCACACACTCCCACGCCCGCGTTACCTTGGACAATGCCCGTGCTCATTATGGAGCCCATCCGCGAGTGGGTGTGATTGACAATCCCTGTGTTGGCTGCGCAGCAACAGGAAGGAAGGAAGGGAGGGAGATGCATCACCACCCCCAGCTTCCCGGCCCACTGGCACTCAAGGGGCAGATGCAGTGACAGAGCAAGGCAGACAGCAGTGCAGGGCCTGGCAGCCGAGAGCCCCAGGAGGAAGAGATGCCTTCGCGTGACAGAGGTGCCAAGGGTCCAAGCACTCATCATTGGGCCGGCCATGACCCTTCCCTGCCCAGGCGGTGTCCACCCTGCTCCCCAGACCACAGGGACATTCACCTAAAGGAATCAGGTTGTTGTGACCCACGCTGGAGCCGCCAGCAATAACACTGCTCAGGTCGTAGGCTGTCGGCATCCCTGCGTGCAGAAAGGGGGGCATCGGCTGGGGGTGAGTGTGCCCCATGGGTCCCGGCCGTCACCCCAGGCCCCTGACTCACCAGCCACAGCCATGCCGCTGCTGAGGTTGTAGGTGCTGCCTGTGTTCCACATGTTCTCCGAGGGTGACGTGTAGTGTGAGCCAGGCGGGGGTGAGGGTGTTGTGCCTGTGTACCTGTGGCAGACGGAGTGTGGGCAAGGCCGGGGCTGCGGGGACAGGGCGACAGGGCCTGGGTGCCCCGCATGGAGACCTCCTACCTGAAGAAGGGGTTCTTCAGGTCCAGCAGGTTACTGGACTTGGAGCCTGTCTGGTCCACCTGGGCCACAATACTGATGTCGTAGCTCTGTCTGTAGGGCAGTGAGGCAGCATGAGATGCCGGCCGAGGGACCCCTGCCTGCCCCAGCCCTGGCAGCAGGCTCACCTCTTGTTGGCAATGAGCAGACATGTCCCTGAGAGCGTGTCCCCGGCCTTGGCGAAGAGTGGTGACTGGAAGAGACACCGTACCTGGTACCAGTGGGTCAAGGGTTCCGTGGGGGCCGTGGACAGCCACACAGTCATTCTGCCAGGCAGGGACAGGCACACACTTGACTGGGCTGGTGCCACTAACTGGGCCACCAGCTGTCCCTGAGCTCTCCCCAGGGCTGGTAATGCAGGCAGACCTGGGCACATGTGTGCACAAGGAATCTGCAGCTGCAGGGCACCTATTCTGATACTCAGGTGCCTTGAGACACAGACAAGGACTCATGAGGGGCAGGGAAGCCCTTTGTCCCCACCCCACCTCTTGCTCCAGACTTGTTCCCACCGGGCAGCAGGAAGCCAGGAACTGCATCCTGCTCTCCAAGCCGAGGGTCACAGGAGCCCGAGGTGGGCCAGTGGAACAGCAGGGCCTGCGCTCCCACACTCACATGGAGCCGATGAAAGCGACGTCAAACCAGAAAGCCAGGCCATGGACCAGCCCCGAGTGCAGCATGTGGAATTTGAATGGGATTTCTATCCTGGAAGGCAAGGGCAGGGGTTGCTGGGGAGCCCGGGAGCTGCAGTGCGAGGAGGGCAGCGGCCCTAAGCTGAGCAGGAGTAGCTGGGCGATGGGGTACAGGGCGTTACCTGTGCAAATCTCCTTCTTTGGCTTCTAAGAAGTTCACTGTATACTTGACAGACTTGGCCATCAGGATCCGGATGTCAAATGTGTCCTGGGAGAGACCACAGGTGTGACCCGGCTTGTGTTACAGACCAGGGAGGAGGGGAGCCTGGTGCTTCCCTCTGGCCTGGCCTTGACTTCCAGGCTGCAGGGCTAGGCCAGCCTCCCCTGCTCAGACATGCTAGGAAAGTGTCGGCACCACACCAAGGGGATGGTGAGGTGACAGCTCTCAGGATGACAGGTGGCACTAAGGACTTGGCCTGTGTGTAACCTACAGATGGACACACGAATTCCACACCTCACTCAGCAGAAGCCACGGGAAGCATCTAATTGATCCAGCAATAGTTCATTCTTAAAGGACTGTGTGTACATGGAAAAAGCAAGAGGTTGTTTGTGATTTTGTAGGGAACGATCTCCAAGATAAATCATTAAGCAAGGCAACCAAAAAACCAAGGTGGCAGGTTTAGGGTGCTAGGGGGCAGAGCATTTGCCTAACATACACAAGGCCCTGGGTTCTATCCACTGTGGCGCCAAAAAATCAAAAGCAACTGTGTGCTGATATCCACTCCCAGTTCTGTTTTTTTGGGGTACTGGGGATCGAACTTGGAACCTTGCACTTTCAAGGCAGGTGATGGAACCACTGAGCTAAATCCCTGGCCCTATCCACTCCCAGTTCTGACAATTTTACCAAAATAAAACAACAACAACAACAACAAAACCAAAAACAAACCAAGAGGCTGGGGTGATGGTGGTGCACACCTGTAATCCTAGCACTCCAGAGGCTGAAGCAGGAGGACTGCTGAGTTTAAGGCCAGCCTGGGGTACACAGTGAGACCCTGTCTCAAAAAACAAATGGATGGGGGGCCGGGGATTTAGCTCAGTGGTTCCGTCGCTTGCCTAGCAAGCGCAAGGACCGGAGTTCGATCCCTGGTACCAAAACAAAACAAAAAACAAATGGATGGGGCACGGGATTTAGCTCAGTGGTGCCGCCGCCTGCCTGGCAAGCACAAGGTCCCAAATTTGATCCCCAGTACCAAAAAAAAAAAAAAAAGAAAGAAAAAAAGGTTGGACAATTTTACATCAGACTGACAGGTCTGCCAAGGACAAGGCAAGCTGAGTGAACTACAAAAACTCAGTCAGCTGCTAACAGCCTCAGGGAACAAGCCTGGCATCCAGGTGCTCATCTCAGCAAGAATGGAAGTGTGCTGAGGGGAGCCCTCCTCACCCTGCCTTCACCCCTGGCTGAGTCCTATCAGCAACCTCTGCAGGTGGGGACAACAAAACAGGAGCTCTGTGTGCCAGGCAGCTTGTGCTCAGGCCAGAACAAAGAAAGAAATGCAGAACAGGAAGGCAGATGTGAGTGCAAGTTCACGTTTAGCACCGCCAATTCCTAGGTCAAGCATGAGGTGGCCTGCAGAGGCCAAGACTCCAAGTGGGAAGCTGTCCTAAGAGACTAAAAGCTGAGCACTGATTGGCCATGAGGAATCCTGGATAAGGCACGCTGAGAACTCTGGTCTCTGTCTAGACTCTGAGGGCTGAGGGTGTAGCCCAGTGGCAGAGCACCCACCCAGCACATGCACAGCCCTGGGCTCCATCCCCAGTACTACAAAAAAAGAACCAAAATCCCAAAAAGTACTACTGCAGGCCAGCCCTAAAACAGCCCTCCAAGTGTAGTCCTGTCCAGGGTACCCTAAAAGGTCAAGGATAAGATGATTTTTGCCTTTTTTTTTAAGGGTCTTACTATGTACCCCAGGCTGGCCTCAAACTCACCAAGATTCTCCTGCCTCAGCCTCCCAAATGCTGGAATTACAAGTGTGCACACCATGCTGCACTGCTTTCTGCCCTTTTTACCCCTTTGCTTGTCTGTGACACACAGCAGACTGAAGGCACAAGGACAGCCCAGCTGTCCTCTACTGAGCCAGTCATTAGACTTGCAAACTAAATGACACTATTTTCACTCAAATTTTATTTGAAAAGTTTCATTTTCTTAAAAAATACTATTGATGTTAACAGGTAATGGGTTATATTATTATTGACAGGGTCTCACTATGCAGTCTAGGCTGGCCTCAAACTCAAGGTGATCCCTCTGCCTCAGCCTCCCAAGTACTAGGCTTATAGGTGTGTAACACCAGGCCCAGCAATTACTTTTTTTTTGGTACCCAGGATTGAACTTGGGACCTTGCGCTTGCACAGCAGGTCCCAGAACTGCTGAGCTAAATCCCCAGCCCAGCAATTACTTTAAAAATAGATAAATTCATATTTTTATATGTCTTGGCTTTAGTTCTCATACCAGTAGATACTGATCCATCATATCGATAGAATACATGCAAACAAAATGTCCTTGGGACCCTTGGTCTTCAGGGTTGTAAAGGGGTGGGGAGACTGCTGCAAATAGATCTCAGACACCTACCAGGTCTGGGCGCTCTGTCGCACAGCAACTGCCCAGAGAGCACCAAAGCCCTGAAGAAGAGACATCCCCAGAACCTCTGTAGTGTTTAACACTAGCCTTCAATGGTCAGGGACATCGAGAAACCGCGCCGCAGGACCAAGACCCAAACCAAGCATAACAGAGCCATGCGCGATGGCCCACACCTGTGGTCCCAGCAGCACTCTGGAAGGCAGAGGCAAAAGGATCATGAGTTCAAGGCCAGCCTGAGCAGTTGAGCAAGGCCCTGTCTCAGTGCAAAGGCCCTGGGTTCAATCCGCAATACAAAAAAAAAAAAAAAAAAAAAGCAAGCCCAGATGTAGACTTTTCCGACACTGAAAGTGATCACTTCCATGTTAACACAAAAAGTGGTGGCTGGGATTGTAGCTAAATAGTACAGCACTTGCCTTGCCTGGCATGTGCCTGACCCAGGGTTCTATTCCCAGCACCAGGGGAAAAAGGATTTCAAAGAAGACCTGGATGATAAAATCTAACCCTGCACTGGCTGCGGGAGTGCACACAGGCAACCCCAGCTATATGGGGGAATGAGGAGAGGTGATCACTTGAGTCCTACCTGGGCAGTGTGGCCAGACCCCATCTCAAAAACAAAAAACATGAAACAACAAAAATGACCAAAATGAAATTCCAGACGTGAGAAATTATAATAACCAAAATTAACAACAAGAAAAGCAGGTGTGCTAGCACATGTCTAGAACTGGTGCAGAAGGCAGGATCCTGGACTGCAAACGCTAGCCCTACCTGGGCAATTTAGTGAAACTATCTTGTAAAAAGTTTTAAAAAGGGGTGGGGCTGGGTGTGGTGGTACACACCTGTGATCCCAGCACTCAGGAGGTTGAGGCAGGAAGACTGACACAAGTTTGAGACCAGCATGGGCTACATAGTGAATTCAAGGCCAGCCTCAACTACATAGTGAGACTCTGTCTCAAAAAATAAAGTAAAATTTAAAAAAGGCCTGGCATGGTGCCGTGTGCCTGTAATCCCAGCACTCTGGGAAGGCAAGCCCAGCCTCAGCCACTTAGCAAGACCCTGTCTCAAAATAAAATGAAAAACTTAAAAGGGTGGGGGGGATACTGAGGATGTAGCTCAGTATGAAGGCCCTAGACTCAGTCACTGGAACTGATGAAAGAAAATAAAAAAGACATTAAGGCAAGAAATAGTAATAGAGGAGACATTTCATAATGATAAAGGAGCGATCCAACAGAGACAGGATAATCCTAAACCTCTCACCAAACACACAGTGTTATAAAGTACGTAAGGCAAAAGTATCACAATGAATCGGAAAAATGAGCAAGTTCACAAGTTATGAACAAAAAAAAAATCAGAAAATCAGTAGTGACAGAGATTTGAGCAACATGATTAGAAAATGTGACCTCCCTGGCTTGACTATAACACTACGCCCAGCAAGTGACGGTCGCACATACTAATTTTTCACATGCACACAGAACTTCACCAAAAGAAACCAGGTACGGGACCTAGAGCATTTCCACACATTTTGAAGGACTCTGACCATGGAAATATTCAGAACAGCATGTTGCTTATGCTACATTTTGTGAGAAGAAAAGCTGAAAATATACGTATTTGTATGTGCACATTTAGGTGTGAACCGTTAGAAAGAGTAAATAATGCTGCTTGCTGCAGGAAGGGGAGCTGAGCGGCAGGAGACATGCTCAGGAGGCTCTGCTTTCATACTCTTCATGTGTGAACTGTGAGTCTACATATCAATTGAGAAACCTCAGTAAGTAAAATCAGCCACTAAATGGAATCTGCTCCTCGAGGGTTCCTTTGCCTCCTAAGCAGTCACACATCCCACAGGCTCCCTGTGCTGAGTCTGCGGCCTCTGCCTCTCAGGGACAGTGCTCTGTGCAGGCCAGAGGCCGGGGCTGAGGGAGCCCAGGGCCTACTCTTGTCACTTAAGGGGAGCCACACCCAGCAGGGACACCATGGTGCCCTACTCACCACCACAGGCTGCCGGAAATACTCGTCCACGGCGGCGCCCCGGAGAGCCGACAGGTCCACCCCATGGAAGGACGGCTGGTACCTGCAGAGAGCCCCGCCCCGGCAGGGTCACCAGCAGCAGCAGCAGCAGCAGGGCAGTGGGTCCTTGCCTGTCTCCCAGCTGACCCCTTACATGCACCCCAGTTCCTCAGGTCCTACTGAAGAGGAGGAAAGGAGAGGCAGGGGGTAGGGGGTCACTCACCAGAAGTTGGCCTTGGTGAACTGCTCCATGTAGAGCTGTTCATCTGTGAAGGGTGCCAGGTGGACGTCACCAATTGTAGGGAACATGTTTCCTGGGAGCAGGGCAGGGAGGGGTGCTGGTGTCAGGGTGGCACATCCCTCAGGGGTGGGTAGAGCTCCCAGAGAACCAGACACCCCAGCCTCAGGCTTTCCAGCCTCTCACCCATCCATCTATTCTGCCAGTGGCCTTGTACTGTCCCACTCACTCCTGGTGGGTATGTGTGTGTGTCTATGTCTGTGTCTGTGTGTATGCATGCACAGCCATGTCCGGCTCTTTTCTTTTGTACCCTTTGGATTTGTGACCCATGGATCTATGTAACGATTCTAAAATAGCAATAAGTGAAATCACCCAATCAGATTGGCTCACTAGGGCTCAATTCATCCACTAACAGCTCAGGTCCCACTTGTGGACAGTCTGTTTGTTCCTGTTCTGTTCCCAGGGCTATGAGGCTAGCAGAAGAACCAACCAGAGCCAACAGCAGGCACACACAGGGAGAAAGGCCAAGTGGGAGGTCCAGGGATCCCCAGCTCTGGCAGACCCCAGGCCAGCAGGGTGGGCCACTTGGCCACTTTAGCTTGGCATATGGCCTACAAAGGGGCAGGAGGCAGGGTCCCTGTCTGTCACTCAACAGACAGCTGAGCCAGAACTCCAGAGGCTGAGCCTGCTCTGGGAAAGCACCTGGCCTCCAGATGTGGATCCTCACCCTTCTGTGCTGAGAAGGAAGGGGCCCCACCAGGCTAGCGATGCCCAGTTGCAGCCCTGGGGCTGGAGACAGGGACAGGCAGGGAGGCACTCCGATATGGCTCCGGGGCCCCGTGCTGGGCCCCACGCTGGGCTACCTGCCCTGGGGAGCCTGTGTCTCACAGGAATTTGTTTGGCCCAGAAGGTTCTTGGCTCCTGCAGGCCAGGGGGTGAGGGGCAGATGCTGCCTTTAGTCCTCTGTGCTGAGCAGGGCTGGCACCTGGCCTCACATCCCATGAGGCCCTCTGCTGGGGCAAACCCATCCCTGCAAGCCTAGCCACCAATAGGCAAGGATGGGAGGGAAGCAGATTTTGGCCTGGTGGTGCATGCCTGTAATTTCAACACCCTGGGAGGCTGAGGCAAAAGGATCTCAAGTTCAAGCCTAGCCTGGGTGGCTGAGTGATTTAGGGAGACCTTGTCTCAAAAAAAAAAAAAAAAAGCTGGGGATGTAGCTCAGGGCAAAGGCCTTGGGTTGAACCCCTAGTAACAAAAAAAATGAAAAAAAAGGGGAGTGAAAGTCATAGGGACAGCCTCAAGTAGCACACACATCCTGGATGTGTGACACAGTGGTGGGGAATGGCAGCCACCTCCAGAACATGGTCCACGGCCCATGGCCCTGGGACAAAGGACTCATGCAGGAGCTTCCCACATGCCTACCACACGCAGGAGCCCTGCCCACCTTGCTTGCCCCCCAGTCTGCTTGCTTCCAAGCTCTACCACGGCCACTGCCTGGCTGGGGCACACATGCACACACACACACACACACCCCACTTCTTGCCATATGCAGCAGGAGTTCAGGTTGGCAAAGACCCCTGACATGAATGGACAGATACACACAGTTGTCTGGTGACTTGGGCTCATACCCAGAGGCAGGGATTGGATAGCCTGAGGACAGACACGGTGACAGATGGGCTCACCAGACTGCTGCCTCACCCCTCACAGGCACCCACAAGGGCACACATGCCCGCCTGCCCCTGGCTGAGGGAGGCCTGTCCAGGCTCTCTGGGGCCCCCAGGAAGCCCCTCGAGCAGGCTGGGCAAGGACATGTCTGGCTCCGTTTGGGGCCTGGGACTCAGGTATAGGGAGGGGGCAGGTAGGGAGCAGGGGGGCCCAGGATCCCCTGTACCCAAGCAAGCAGGGAGCGGGGTTGCCATGGGCTGAGGGTCCAGCTGTTGAGCACAGCAGAGACACTCACCACTGGGCTTCAGGTACTTCTTGGCATGGAGGTAGCTCTCGAGCATGCGCTCATTGAAGAGCATGTAGCCCATAGGCTCCGAGATGATGATGTCCACCTGCTCGGGGAGCGAGATCTCCTCCACCTTGCCGGGGATGACCACGATGCGGTCCGTCAGGTTGTTGCTCTTCACCAGGACCTGCAGGCAAGCAGAGACTCAGGGGTCCCCGCACCTAACCATTGTGTGCCTCCCGCCAGGGCCTCTGGCCAACATGGCCCCCCAGCACCCCTCTGCCTCCTCCAGGGCATCTGAGCCACAGCCTCGGCTGCTAAGAGCGCAGGTGGCCCAGGCACTGTGAGGCAGCAGCAGTCCTGGTCCCCCACCCTAGTGGTGTCAGCTGTTGGGAGCAGAGATGGGGGAGTCAACTCTGCAAGGGCCACTGATGCTGCAGCCGCACCCTACAACCTGGCAAGTTCAGTACCAGAACTTGTCCTTGGGGCATAATGGCACCAGAAGTACCACGTGTTTAAGGGGGCTCAGCAGGACAATGTGTATGACAAAGATTGGAAGAGTCAATGTCACAAGAGATGGAACTCGGCTAAGCAAACAAGGCTCAGCTCAGGCCAAGGGACACCTGGCAGCTACAGAGAAGGAAGACACTGTCCCCAGCAGGACAGAGACAATGTGCTTTTCGTGTGAGACAGCAGCAGGCAGGAGAGCCATGCTGGCCTGTGCACCCATGGAGGAGTCTAGTAAGGTCTCGGGGGTCCCCCGGGGAGGCGCTGGAAAGACCAAGGGTGGAGGGAGGGAGGCATTTTCACTGTTCTTCCTTTGTAGCTTTGCAATTTTCAACCTGGTGAATGAATGTTTCAGTAAAAAAAAAAGGAGATGACAACATGAACTCACAAAATGAAAGACCATTGTCACCTGCATTGGACACGGGGTGGCAGGGCTCAGAGAGGCCAGGCACACACCCCAGAGATCTCCCCTGAAGCACAAGGTCTCATGGCATCCAAAGGCCCCACCCGCCCCAGCCCAGGGCTCAGCTTCCTGGAGGTTCACGGTGGGCACTGCACTTGAGGCTGAGGTGGGCCTGGGGAACCAGGGATACTGACCTCGGCATGCTGGGCCATGGTGCTGGCCTCCACTGCATAGATTTTCCTGGCTCCAGCCTGGGCGGCAAAAAACGACAGGATCCCAGAGCCACAGCCAACATCAAGCACGATCTGGAAATGGTGATGGGAGAGGTGCTGGGTCCCCAGCATCCGGTGTGACCCCGACACAGGGCCCACGGCCAGAAATGGGGCACCGACTGCGCATCAACTACAGAGAGCTTCTAAAGTACAAAAATAGGAATAAAAAGAGCAATGAAGAATCTGAGCAGGGTCAAGGAAGAGGCAGAAGGCTCCTGATAGAAAAGTGCACATCTCTGGGAGCTCACGTTTTGGAGTCAGAGCTGGTTCGGGGAACCTGGGAGTGACACCCAGGCAGAGAGGAGGAGAGAGCCAAAGACAGCTGAGCCGAGGGCGGGGCCTCAGGACTGCAGGGCCTGCACTCTGCAGCCCTGGTGGCTAGGAAGGGGCCAGAGGGAAAGTGTAAGCTCCCGACCAATTCAAAAAGGAAAACAAATGCTGGGCCAGCAGGAGAGAAGGGAGTAAAAAATGCAGTTAAGCTGGGCTTGATGGCAGAGGCCTGTAATTCCAGCACCCTGGAAGGCTGAGGCAGGAGGATCACAAGTTCACACCCATCCTGAGCAGCTTATTGAAACCCTGACTCAAAATGAAAATTCAAAAGACTTGGGGGGGCTGGGGGTTTGGCTCAGTGGTTCCTCTGTCTGCCTTGCAAGCGCTGGGTCCTGAGTTCAACCCCTGGTACCAAAAAAACAAACCAACAAAAGACTTGGGGCAGGGCCGGGGATTTAGCTCAGTGGTTTCGCCGCCTGCTGCACAAGCGCAAGGACCCGAGTTCGAACCCTGGTACCAAAAAAAGACTTGGGGCTGAAGCCAGGCATGGTGGTGCACACCTATAATCCCAGTACTTGGGAGGCTGAGGGAGGAGGATCGCCATGAGTTCAAGGCCAGTCTGGACTACATAGCAAGACCCTGTCTCAAAAAACAAAAAACAAAAAGAACTGGGGTGCAAAGGCTGGGTTCCCTTGCCATTACCACAGAATAAAAGAAAATGCATTTAATGCCTCTGACCTACAAAGCCTGGCTGACTTAAACATGCTTGGAACACTTAAGGAACGACCCCACAGTTGGGCCAAGGAATCTAACATGGAGCATGTTTTATAGTACAGTGTTGAGTATCTCATGCAGTATATGAAATACTGTCCTGAAAAAGAAAAACAGAGCAGCTGTGTAGGGACACTTTGATTCAGAGAGCACTGAAAGTCACTACATCTAGCCATCATCATAAGATGGGGACCATCTGGGGACACTGCACACTTGCTGTCTTTTAATCACAACTACACATTGCTTGGTAGCATTAAAAGCTTCTCGGCAGAGCTCAGAGACTGGGTGCAGCTCAGTGGCAGCGCATTGCTGGGCATGTGCAAGGGCTGGGCTCTATCCCCTGGAGAGGTGAGGGACAGGGCCAATTGGGGTCCATCGCTGAGCCCGAATGCCACATCCCAAAAGTCCAGAGACCTAAATACACACTGAAGCTTGCGCTGGCGACTGGCTGAGAGCAATTTGGGCATCTTCGCCTGTGATGTTATGATATGGTGTCTTGGTTTCTGTCCCGGATCCCTGGCACATCACCCCACCCCTGAGGTGGGCCATGGAAAGGAGGTGTTCCTTTCCCCATGGCAGGACACAGAAACTCTGCTCTTCCAGTCTTTCTGTCTTGCAAGTGGCCCTAAAGAGATTCTGACCCAGCTGGGTGTGGTGGCACATGCCTATAATGCCAGCGCTAAGGGAGGCTGAGCCAGGAGGATCTCAAGTTCAAGTCCAGCCTGGGCAACTTAGTGAGACCTTGTCTCAAAATAAAAAGGGCTGGGAGTGTGGCTCAGTAGTACAGCATCCCTGGTAGCCCCCGCCCAAAAGAAAGTCTTTTAGGTTGTGGTGTGAGGACCAAAATATGTATATGTTTTCTATACATCACTGTTTTTTAAAAAAAGTAACTAGGAAAGGTGATGAGTATTAATCAGCTTGATTCTCTTTCACACACACACCTCAGAATATCACCTGAAGTGCATAGTTTTCAGCAGCACTGGGATGGAACCCAGGGCTATGTGCATGCTAGGTAACACCTGAGCTACACCCCCAGGCCTTTATTTCCTTAAGTTGAGACAGAGTCTCCTAATTTCCCAGGCTGGCCTTAAACTTGCAATCCTCCTGCCTCAGCCTCCCAAGTATCTGGGCTTACAGGTGAGCACATCTGCCCTTGGCTGAGAACACACTATGGATGCAGCTTGTTGCTTTAGTTAGAGAGGTTGCCATTTACATTTTTTTTTTCATTTACATTTTGTATGGCTTCTGCTTTGATTTTGGGGTGCTAGGAATAGAACTGAGGACCTCTCTCATACCATGCAGGTGGTCTGCCTCTGAGCTACACCCCCAGCCCAGCATGTACAACTCTTACTTGTCAATCATACTTTAATAAGACTGGGAGAAAACAGTGTGCCATAAAACACACTATTAAGGTATAAAAAATTTTAAGGCCAGGCATGGTGACACATGCCTATAATCCCAGCACTTGGACTGATGAGAGTTCAAGGCCAGTTTGGACTACACAGGGAGACCTTATCTCAAAAAAAAAAAATTTTTTTTAAAAGAGTATTCAACAGGAATACACAGAATACAATCCAATGTCCTTTAACAAAAGGCCTCAAGCAAATAATTCAAAATTACGTGCTAATGCATGCATGGGAACAAATTTGGAAGGAGAGACCTTACACTGATGGCAGAGACTGTTTTGGAGGGAAATGACACAGGCCTTTCCTGCGATACTGTACATGTTAAAGAGGTTTTCCTTTGGTAATCAGAAAAGTAAATCTGAGATAAAATCCTTGCACAAACAAAAAGACAGAAACAGGGAGGTGGTCTCATGCCTGGGCTGGCACTGCTCACTTTGTCCTTGAAGTCGGTGTGGTTCTGCAGGATGGCACGCTGGTAGGTCCCCGTCCGCACATAGTCCTGCATCATGTTCTGCTGCTGGGACAGGTAGCCGTAAAACTGGAACAGAGATACACCAATGCACAGGGCACCCAGGGGACAATTGGCCGAGACCTGCCAGCCTTACAGAGGGAAGGGTCAGCTTGGACCTCTGTCCCCTGGGAGGCTGGGCGCCCTCTGCCAGCCCAGACCCCTCGGCACAGGCTGCCAGCTGCTCAGGAGAGGGAGCAGCCCCAGGAAGGTCACCACCACTGTCACCATGGCTCAGGGACACAGGTGGCTGCCACCTGGACCCAGAAGCCACCCAGGAGACCGTAAGCGTGGGGTTCTGGCATTAGGGCCATCTGACCCAGCTTCGGGGCCCCAAAGAAGAGGAGGAGCAAGTGGAACAAAACTCTAGAGCTCAGAACTGCAGGCAGGTGAGGCGTGGTGTCTCTGTAAGACAACAGGTGATCGGGAGGCAGCATGGCACCTGCAGGGCCACAGGCTTTGGCATCAGGCACACCTGGCTTCCCATCTCGGCTATGTTTCAAAAGAGCTGTGTGACTTGGGGCAAGTCACTTAACCTCTCTGAGCCTCAGTTTTGTCATCTGTAAAATGGGACAATAACAGCACTTACCTCCTCAAGTTGTTGGGAGGGTCCCAGTGCTTCTGGGCCCAGAAGAGCTCAGAGCATGCCTGGTGCACAGTAGGGGTCAGGACAGTGCAGTGGTTCTGTTACTATTCAAAATGCCTGGGGCCCAGGCTTCACCCACACTCAGATCCTTCTAGCAACCCTCTCAGGCATCACAAATGAGAAAACTGAGCCCCAGCAAGCAGAGGACACTTGCCCAAGGCTATGCAGCTAGTAGGGGACAGAGCCAGGACGGGATCCCAGGTGGGCCTGCCCATGCTGCATGGCCTTTGAGCAGGCAGGTGGGACAGGCCACCAGCTGCAGGTAACCTGGCCCAGGGCAGTCGCCCCCTACCTGGAAGTACTGCACAGCCGAGGACTCCTCTGTGCGCTCACTGAACACCGACCGCTCCAGGGTGTGGCCCCGGCACGTCTTCAGGATGTTGTAGAAAGAACAGAAATCTGCAATGGGAGAGCCAAGTCACTGGGGGCAGGGAGCGACCTGCCCAGGAGCCTGGCACGTGTGGCCACCTCAGGGCTCCATCTGGCTGCACGCCTTGGCTTTTCCCACGGAGCCTGTGTGGCTCAGTGATCTTTTTCCCCCCAAACAATGTTCACATTGAAAAGAAAAGGGGCTGAGAGTGCAGCCCTGTGGTACTGCATTTGCCTCGCCTGTGTAAGCCCCTGGCCTCCAAGGCCAGCAAGGCCAACACCAAGCACATGAATAAGTAAAGCAGAAAATAAAAGGAGACCAACGCTGCCACTTGGTGACCAAGAGCAGCAGGTGGCAAGTTCCCCGAAGAGTGGGAGTGGCCTAGCGGGAACAGGCCTGGCAGTTCCTCGCCAAGAACAGCCTGGTGAGTCTGTGAAGGGCACAGGCCACGGACCCCAGCTCAAACCTCCAATGATTAAGCCCACCTCGACTCAGGAAGCATGGCGGTGTCTACGGGCCGGCAGACACAGAGACACCACCTCCGTGTCCAGCAAGGGGATAAAGTGAAAGAGGGGCCTGGGGACGTGGCGCCAAGGTAGTGCGCTTGCCTGGCCTGGCTTCCACCTTTAGTACCACAACAGAAGAAAAAGAAGAAGGCTGGGGATTTAGCTCAGCGGTGCTGCCACCTGCCTCACAAGCACAAGGTCCCAGTTCGATCCCTGGTACCAAAAAAAAAAAGAAGAGGAAAGGAGGAGGAGCAGAGAAGAAGAGGAGGAAAGAAGAAGAAAGAAGGAGGATAAGGAGAAAGAGGAAAAAAGGAGGATGAGAAAGAAGAAGGAAGAGGAGAAAAGATGAAGAAATAGAAAAAAGAAAGGAAGGAAACAGGAAGAAGGAAGAGAAGAGGGAAGGAGAAACCTTAGAGGAATTTGTAGTATCACTGTTCATAGTTCACACTAGGTGGTGTTTTGTTTTGCTTTGCGTTTTGACAGGACTGGGGCCTGAGCTCAGCCCTAGAACGCATGCACTAGGCAAGTACTTCACTGCTAAACTACATTCCTGCCCACTGCTGGAGTTATTTCTCTTTTGTTTTAAACTATGAATCTAGATTATAAGAGTCTCCTCTTGCCCTTGCCAAATACATGCCAAGATGCTCCTCAGATGCCTCCAACTGCAGAGACTACCAAACCATATACAGCAGAGATGGTGAACCTTTTAGTTTTCCGCGATATAAACAGCCTGCTGCAGCACGCATGCCATAAGTTTGCCACCACTATTTAGACTATATTTTTATATATGTACCTATGATAAAATTTAACCCTAAAAATAGATAAAATTAGTGTTGGTTAATTTTTTTTCTTGGCAAATGCAGTGCTGCAAGCCTATAATTCCAGGTCTTCAGGAGGCTGAGACAAGAGTATGTAAAGTTTAAAGTCAGCCTGGGTGACTGAGACCATGTCTCAAAATAAATAATAAAAAGAGCTGTGTATGTAGCTCAGTGGTAGAGCATCCTCAGGTTCAAATCTCCAGTAATGGGGAAAAAAGCAGTTTAGCTTATAAAAGTAGAGACCTACTGCCCTTTATGTACATAGATAAAGAAAGGACATGGGGCAGGAGGCCGGCTGGGCCTGAGATGAGCTCCCCACCGAACCCCAGGCTCTCCTCACCTCTCCCTGGCCCCCTGCCCTAGCTGTCTTCCCCACCTCCACACGCCACCCCTCAGGGACCCTGTGTGCCCACCAGCATCCTCCGAGGTAGGGCTGCTGAGAGCTTTCCAGTGACTTCTCTCAGGGCCCGGACCCCACCCCACAGGCTGTGAGGCAGGGCCAGGGCCAGGCACTCAGGAAGGCCTCTTGGGGGAGCGGACAAGAGCTGAGGCCCAAAGGACACAAAGGAGCCTGTGCCAGCAGAGGGTTTGTTCCAAGCAGTAACAATATACTCTAACCAGGACTGTGTTTCTACAGGGACTATAATAATAATAATATTATTATTGACAGTCTCACAATGTTGCTGAGGTAACAGAACAAAGGTTTAAGCTGGGTGGGGTGGCATATGCCTATAATCCTAGCACTGAGGAAGCTGCGGCAGGAGGATTGCTACGAGTTTGAGGCCAGCCTGGGCTACATAGGGAGACCTTGTCTCAAAAAAAGAAAGGAAAAAAAAAAAAAACCAGGATGATGGTTTTGACAGCAGTAGCTGGCAACTGCCAGGTGGCTGCCCTTCCCAGCTCCAGCCCACCCAGCCGCAGGGCGGAGACACATACCATTGGGAGTGGCGAACTGGATGAGGACGCTGTTGCAGCCCAGCGTGATGATGAAGGACTGCTTGCCCACGCGGCTGCACTCTGTCTCTCGGGACACAGAACACTTGAACACACACACATCTTCATCTGCGACACAGAAGTGGTGTGAGCAGTGGCATCTTGCTAGCTGCCTGAGTCCCACCACCCTCCCTCTGTCCCCTGGGCACCCCAGAATCTTCCACAGTGTCACAAAGCTGCCCAGGAAGCCTGCTAGCCAGGACCCTGTCTGCCCAAGCCACATGAGGGGCAAGGAGGACTGATCACAGCGTCTGTCCACAGGGAGATGCAAACAAGCAATGGCAACCACAGCAGGGCCATGGCGTCACCAAGCCTGGAGAGGCACAGTGGGCCCAGCTGAGGGAGAGGGGCACTCATCCAGACCCTTTCACGTCACATGGGGGTTCCCAGCCATCTCTCTGACTTCTGTGTGCAGTGATCATGTGTTTGTCCATGGAGCCATACGACCCAGGCTTCTGTCCCCTACACTTCTTACTGTGTGATGCGGGTCTCACTGAGCCTCTGAGTCCTGGTTTTCTCATCTGCCAAGCGGGGCTGTCAGTGAGGCAGGGAGACAGCAGCTACAACACACGCTCAGTCAAAGGCAACGTGCACAGGAAGCCCCGGATCCTGTGCCCAGTGCTGCTGCACACCAGTCACCCACTCAGCAAGTGCAGTGTTCCCACCCGAGCCACAGGACAAGACAGTGTCCCAGGAATGGGACAAATGCATACATGGAAGTGGTCCCCTGCCATGTTGCAGTCGGACAGCCAGGGCACCTGTGTGGCAATCCTGACAAAAACGCTGCCCTCCGTCCCATCCTAAGGGGACAGCAATAGTGGGAGACTGTGGCGTCTGCAAGGCAAGCAGCCTGGTTTCCCAGAAGAGCAACATCAGGAACAAGAGGAATGCAGGGTGCTAAACCGGGGGTGGGGTTGGGGGGAGACCTAAGAAGAGCAGCCAAGAAATGCCAAGCGGATGCTGGATGGGGCCCTGATGAGAAAAGGCTTTAAAAACCTGTAAAGGACAACTAGGGAAATGCATGAACTGGGCATGCGACAGTACAGTCATTTGGTCTTTAGAAGGCCCTGTTCTGACAAGATACACACAGAGCATTCAGAGTGAATTCAGGCGATGTCTGCAGCTTGCTTCTAAATGGCTCATCAAATACCAACGAAAGAAATGTGGAGAGAGACGTGAGAGTCCAAATGTGATTAGGAAAACCATTTCCAAGAGGTCAAAGGTTTGAGCCCAAGCTGGCAACCTAGCAAGACCCTCTCTCAAACTTTTAAAAATAAAGAAAGACCCCTGCTTCGCAAGTGCAAGGTCCCAAGTTCGATCCATGGTACCCAATAAAGAAAGAAAGAAAGAAAGAAAAATAAAGAAGAGCTAGGGGTGTAGCTCAGAGTGAAGGACCTGGGTTCAATCTCCAGTACAGTACTTTAAAAAAAAGGTTTCCAATCATGGAGTAGCCAAAATACCTTGGAAGACAACAAAGATGGAGGATTCACACTTCTCAATTCCAAATCACACTACAATGGTAATCAAACAGTGTAGTACTGGCAAAAGAACAGACCTGGGGAATAGGATTGGAGTCCAGAAATAAATCCTTCCATTTATGGTCAATTGATTTTCACCATGGGTGCCAAGAACATTCAATGGGGTAAGAAGATTCTCTTCAATGAAAGGAGCTGACCTCGCAAGCACAAGGTCCTGAATTCGATCCCCAGTACCAAAAAAAAAAAAGACTAAACTTTTAGAGTCTTGGGATACAGGTCAAGAGTAGGTGGCTTGCCTACTACAAGGAGACCCCCGGTTCCATCCCAGCACTGCAAAACAGACACTATTCAGAGTAAATAGTTAACCTGCAGAATGGGACAGAGCACTCATAAATCATGTATCTGATAAAGACCCAGAATCCAGAGCATACAGAAACTCTTTTTAACTCTTTTAACACCTGTAATTCCTACTACTCAGGAGGTGGAAGCAGGGGAATTGCAAGTTTGAGGCCAGCCTGGACAACTTTGAAAGAGCCTGTCTAAAAAAAGGGGGGGGGGCTGGCAATCTAGCTGAGGGGTAACACGTGAGAGGGCCTGGGTTTATTTAAACTCCAATAGTGTGAAAACAGAAAAACAAATTGTTTTAAGGCAACAATAAAAAGACAATCAATTCAATTCAAAAATGGGCAAAGGAAGTCAAATGTGGTAGTTTATGCCTACAATCCCAGCACTCTGGGAGGCTGAGGCAGGAAGTTTCATATTCAAGCCCAGCCTGGGCAAAAAAACAACTTAGCAAGACTCTGTCTCAAAATAAAAAACAAGGCTGGGTGTGGTGGTGCACTCCTGTATTCCCAGCACTCAGGAGGCTGAGGTAGGAGTGTTGCTGTGAGTTTGAGGCCAGGCTGGGCTACACAGTGAGTTTGGGACCATCTTGAGTTATATGTTATATAGCAAGACCTTGTCTCAAAAACTAAGTAAATAAATAAATAAATAAATAAAAAAGGGCTAAACACGTAGTTCAGTGTGAAGATCCTGGGTTCAATCCCTTGCACTGAAACAAAGAAAAACAAAACATGGCAAGCTGGGAGAGGTGGCACAGGCCTGTAATTCCAGCACTCTGGAGTCTGAGGTAGGAGGATCACCATGAGTTCAAGCCCAGCCTGGACTATATCGCAAGACCCTGTCCCAAAAAACCAAAAAAAAAAAGGACAAAGGACCTGAACGGACATATTTCCAAAGAAGATATACAAACGGCTAGCAAATGCTTATAAAGATGCACAACAGGGCCGGGGATTTAGCTCTGTGGTTCCGGTGCCTGCCTCGAAAGTGCAAGGTCCCGAGTTCTATCCCTGGTACCAAAAAAAAAAAAAAAAGATGCACAACATCATAAATCATTGAGGAAATTTAAATAAAGACCATGTGAATATCACTTCATACCTACCAAGACCACTCTCATTTAAAGCCAAGAGAAAAAGAAAAAAAAGGATAAATAACAAGTGGTTGCCAAAGATACAGAGAAATTAGAACCCTTATACTCCACTGGTGGGATGTAAAATAAAACGATGCAGCCACCATGGAAAACACTTCAGCTATTCTCAAAAAGTCCAACACTCAGGAGGCAGAGATAGGAGGACTGCCATGAGTTCGAGGCCAGCCTGAGCTACATGGTGGGGCTCTGTCTCAAAAAACAAAACAGTAACAAAAAATCATCATGGTATTACTATTCAAGGTCATCAAAAGTAGAGACAGTATCCAGCAAGTGATGAATGTACAAACAAAATATAGAATATCCATAAAACAGACATTATTTTGTACTGGAGATCAAATCTGAGCCCTTTTTTTTTTGGTACTGGGGATCGAATTCAGGACCTTGCGCTTGCAAGGCAGGCGCCAGAACCACTGAGCTAAATCCTCAGCCTCTGAGCCTTTTTTAAGAAATACTTTAAGACAGGGTCTTGCTAAGTCACGAAGTTGCTCAGCCTGGACTCAAACCTGTGACCCCCCTGCCTCAGCCTCCCAGAGTGCTGGGATTGGAGGTGTGCACTACTCCTGGCTAAAAGACACTATTATTAACCATTGATGACACCTGCAACAACCTGGGTGAATCTCAGAAACATGATCAAAGAAGGCAAACACGAAAGGTCACAAAATGTGTAGCTCCATTCATATGAAATAGTCAGAACAGGTAAATTCAGAGACAGAAGGCAGAGTATAGTTGCCAGGGACTGCAATGGAGAATGGGAGTCAGTGCTTAATGGGTGTGGGACTTCTTTTTGGGGTGGTAAAAATGCTCGATTTTTGGTTACACAATGCTGGGAATATGCTAAATGCCACTGAGCTGTATCATTTAGAATGTGTTGTTTTAGGGTTATAGGAATTCTACCTGAACAGAGCAAGAAAAATGCTCTCAGCCAGGCGTGCTGGTGCATACCTGTGAGCCCGGTACTCTGCAAGAATGAGGCAGGATGATGGGATGTTTGAGCTTAGCCTGGGCAACTTAATGACTTAGACCCTGTCTCAAAATAAAAATAGAAAAGGGCTGGGGAATGTACCTTGGTATGAAGGCCCTAGTTTCATCCCTAACAGTCCCACACATGCACAAACGCACACATGCACACTGTAAGAAAGAAACAAAGTTCAGACTCCAGGGCAACAGGCACTCCCCAAGCCCTCATCAGGATGCACAGTCTGAGACCCCCATGGGGGGCAAGGCCCCTGCACAAACTCAAGAGGGCAGCAGGCAGGAGGAGGGTGGTGGGTGGGGCGGGCCATTGCCCTAGGCTCCCAGCCCCCGCCTCCAGGCTCCAAGAGGAGGAGTTTCAGACCCAGCTGTAAGTGGGGGTAAGGAAGGGACCCTGGGGCAGGAGATAAAACCATGCTGCCAGCTGTGCCCAGGCAACAGCAAGGAGAGCCAGGAGGCCTCTGGGTATTTTTGGGGGGCGGGGGTACCAGAGATCAAACTCAGGACCTTGCGCTTGTGAGGCAGGCACTGGAACCACTAAGCTAAATCCCCAGCACCTAGGAGGGCTCTGTTTATGAGGCGGCCTGCCCTGAGCACCCACTGAAGCTGGCATCAGGCAGGCAACTATAGCACCTGTGGCCTAGGGACACTTGGCTGCAGCCAGAAGCAGGGGCTGGGCTCAAATCTGGGCTCAGGGCGATAGGATCTGTCTTTTCACAGTGACAGCAGCCAAGGCTGTGGAGCCAGCATTTTATGACTGTCACAGCAGGACCCTCCAGCCAGTCCCTGGCACGAAGCAAGCACCAGGGAAGCATCTGACAAACCCAAACAGGCTGCACCTCCCTGATTTGCAAAATCCTCCTTTGGGGATTAGGGCTGCAGCTCAAATGTTGACCAACTGCCTAGCACCCTGAACCCCTGGGCTCTACCCTCAGCACTGAAGAATGAAAACCAACAAAATTTCCTCCAGGAGATGCAACGGAGCTCCCACACTGGCAGTCGCCAGGGTCCCTGCCCTCCCTCCCCAGACTTACCCATAGCCACACTCAATTCTCCAGCCCAGAGAGCCAGGCTTGGGTCTCAGCACACTTCCTCCCCTCCCCTGGCATGACGGGCCCGGGGACAATGCA